ACGAATTCATTTTGAATGCTAGTCAAGATCAACCTTGGAAGATACTGTTGTTGTGCTAGCTTTCTTTACTTACTATGTAAGACCTCACCATTGTAAATTTGTCCTATCAATAGATATATATATGTTTTGTCCGCACATCTCAAGAATAATAGTATTGTAAATTCTTAGGGTGTGACAGCTTTCTAGTCCATTAGTGGAGTCATGCTTAAATTAGGCATATGCTTACACCGGTGAAAAAAATGGGATCTTATTAGTGCATTACAATACGTTTGTGTCTGCAACTATGTCTTCAAATCCGGACTGAACTCTATGAAACTGGAAAAGTGTCCTGTCCAATTCAATCAGTGGTCCGACCAGTTCTCAAACCTGTTGGATGAAAACTAACTAAATTCATGAGATTTATTTTAAAAACTGCAAAATTTAAATGTGCTTTAGAGATTCACGTTTTTAGCATACCAACCTGGGTTGTTGGGGTCCATCCAATTAAGTTAACATTTATGCATAAACAAGGGCATAACTGTCTATTGAAAATAGTAATTTGAAAAGCAAAAGGCTGTTTTTTGACTATCATCAGGATGTATTCCAATACCTTCCATCATGAACCCCAGATCGATTCATTTCTGGCAACATTTTGTATACACATGAATAACGGCCGTCATTAATGATGAACAATTCACACCATGCAGTATCTCATTTTAATCATTCATCAAACATTGACGACCCTTGAGGTTTGTGCTCCATGTGCCCTTCCACACACTTGAACAAAGCGTTGCTTCAAAGTGAAACAACTCGTTCGTTTAGAAGAAAGAACAAAAGGAAATTTTCATTAGTCATAGAATCATTCTAAAATGAGATATGAATAAGATTTCTTTAGTAGTGGATAACGGTTCTTCAAAGTGAAACAAGTCGTTCGTTAAGGAGACACAACGACGAAATTTTTATCAGTCATATAATCTTTCTAAAATATGATAAGAATGAGATTTCCTTAGTAGTGGATAACGGTTAGATTGTAGTGGAGTACAGCATTCGGAGTTGTTGTATCCAAGAAGTAGGTTTGTATAAGAACATAGCCACTAGCGAGGCGGAAGGCTCCAGTACCTCCAACAACTGACAACTCCCTCACCTTTTCTTGAACTGGGTTCCTCCCTATCACAGTGACAATGCTACCATTGAACTCGCCGTCTGTGAATGCTAAATTGAGGGCCATGAACAAACTGAATTCACTTTGGGATGAGAAAGCATACAGGCCTTGCGCCTTCCCAATCCACTTGGATGTAAGCTCTGGCCCTTCGGTCAAGGGATCGTCCGCAACGACAACCTCGCCAAAGACAGTGGGCGAGGCGTTTGTTGTGTTGGCTTTGGCCACCGTCACTGCCGTAGGCTTATTTGCGACAAGGAGGTCATGTAAGTAGAAATCGATGTAGCTCACTTTTGGTTCACCTAGGCCTAGCTCTGCTTGGCAAATGGGCATGGAGGAGAAGACAAGCAGCAATGCGGCTATGCCGGTACCTCTCATCTTGGATTTAGTGAAAATTGAGTGAGATTCTGGATGAGGGTACTTTCTTTTATATATGAGACTCAATGTCCATTAAATAAATGAATATATAGCCTTGTATTTTATAGACAAATTACAGACAACAATAGAAATAAATCTAAACCATATCCAAACTTACTATAAATTGCAGATTCTCTACCAGCCCTTCCCATATATATTAATGGCAATACATACTTTATATATTAACCGGGTACACAATATACACTTTCTATATTAACTCGGTACACAATATACCCTTTTCATATTAACCGAATATATAATATATATACTTTCCTTTCACATCTCCTTCATTATATTTGGGAAAAGGGTTAGTCTTGTGGATGCTCAAAAGGAACAAAAGCATCTTTCAATTGTTTAGATCAATGGTTCAAAAAACGGATTGGTGGCCCGGATTGGGCATCCCAAAAACCCATCCGGATAAACCCATCCGGATAGAGAATCGGCCGAATTTGTAGGATTAAGCTTTAAAAAAAATCTAAAAAAATTATTAAAACTCATTATAAATGTTGTTTTTTACGAATCCAATAAGAAATTGGAGTACTACATTATTAATTTTCATTTTTTTCATCAATATGTGAATATTGATATATTTTTTCTCTGTATGAACTTATTTTAACCATTAAATTACATCACACAAAATAAAAATCATGGAATTATCATGGATGAAGTATATAATCATACATGGACTACAATAAAGAATGGTTTTTTGATAAGAACTTTTTAGTCTTTTTGACAAAAACCTTTTATTTTTTTTACAAGCAATGTTTGTCGTATTACATTTTTTTTGGTTTTTAGCAAGAACCTTTTTTTTGACAAAAAATACTTGTTGTATTATTAATTTTTTTATAAGAACTGTCTTTTTTTACATTAACTTTTTATTACCTTTTATTTTTTTGACAAAAACCTTTTATTTTTTTGACAAAAAAAAGGAATTTGACAAGAAAAATAATTGATAAGAACCTTTTATTTTATTTTATAAAAAACTTTTTATTTTATTGATAAGAAAAAAAATTTCACAAAAAGAGAAATTGATAAAAAAACCTTTCATTTTTTTGATAGGGATTTTTTATCCAAGGGCCAAGGATTTTTTATTTGTAATTTTTATTTAAAAATGATATTGATATAGAATTTGGGATGTAACTACATTTTCATAATTAGAATGAATAAAATTAATAAAAAATATTTTGAATAAGAAATATTGATCCAAATAAATTTAATAGTATTTTGGTTATATTTTATTTAAAATATTTTTTAATCATTTTTTTAGTTATATTTATAAAATCTACACCCTTAAATTTAGATAAAAATCTTATTTAAATAAAAAAAAATATGAGACTTTTTTTTATTGTTGGGCATGGCATTGTGAAATCCTTTCGACCCGTTCACATGATGTGGAGGGGTTAGGTTACCTTCGACCTGTTTTCATGTTAGGGATGGGAAATGAACAATCTAAATAATATATAATATTTTTGTATTTTAATTTTATTTATTTATTTTTATTTTTTTTATAAGATCCATAAATGCTAAAAGCGAGATTCTTTTGATGCTTTTCCGGGGCTAAAACAATTATTTCTAGGAAGATTTGAGCTGCCGCCCTAGGAAAGCCACGGACTAAGCTAACCTTTTACTTACTTTTGAATTTACTTTGTAATACCTCCTCTTCATATGCAGTGTCTCGACTCCGCCATTTGTCATCGAGTTAAGAATTTATTGAATACATTAAGAAAATACTCTTTGTAGAAGAACCTTAACAAAATCTTAATAATAACGTCCATTAAAAAGTATGTGTTACTTAAGTATATGCCCTTATTATTATTATTATTATTATTATTATTATTATTATTATTATTATTATTATTATTATTATTATTATTATTATTATTGTGTTGTATGCTCGAATATCTTTTCAAATAATTGAAAGTTAAAGTTGGTAGTTAACCCATAAAGGGTGGGCCATTTACATATGGAAAATTATTTCTTGTGGGCAAGACTGTATTTATACAATATGCGGTCCAAAGGTATAAATCATTCCTACTAAAGATGGATGCAAATAGGTGGTCCATCTAAAAACAAGTGTAATTAACGATCCAAATGTTTTCTTAATATAATTATTATTTCTAGTTTTCAATATTTATTTATTTATTTTTCACATTCATGATCTCCATGTTAGAGATTATATATTCTCTAAATATTCGGATCAAATTATATTTAAAAAATATATTTATTGCCAAGTTCACATTTCTACATTATGTGGGCTTGCCACATAGAAATTGTCCTTCACATACCTAACATGCTTTTTACTAGTCATTGACAATTTTACTCAATTGCCCATCCGAAGCGATATCCTACGACAAAGAAAGAAATCTTTGGCCAAAGCTTTTTTTTTTTTCTTTTCTTTATGTGAATGGTAGTTTTTTTTATATCTGAAATTTACAATCAAAGTAGGTCAACGCGACTTGTTAATGAAAAACAACACAAGGAAATTTTCATGAGTCATAGAATCATATTCTAAAATGGGATAGGAATGAGATTTCCTCAGTAGTGGATAACGGTTACATTGTAATGGACTACAGCATTCAGAGTTGCAGTATCGAAGGAGTAGGTTTGTTTAAGAGCGTAGCCACGAGCGAGACGGAAGGCTCCACTACCTCCAATAATCGACAGCTCTCTCTCTTTCTGCAGAATTGGGTTCCTTCCCATCACACTGAGAGTACTGCCATTGAACTTGTCATATGTGAATACGAAATCGACGGCTTCGAACAAACTGATCTCACTTTGGGATGAGGGAGCATACAGGCCTTGTGCCTTCCCAATCAACTTGGATGTGAGCTCCGGCCCTTCGGTCATGGGGTCATCCACAACGACGACCTGGCCAAAGAGAGTGGGCGAGGACTTTGTCGTGTTGGCTTCGGCCACGATCACTGCCGTAGGCTTCTCTGCGACGAGGAGGTCGTGCATGTAGATTTCGATTTGGCTCACTTTTGGTTCCCCTAGGCCTAGCTTTGCTTGACAAATGGGCATGGAGGAGAAGAATAGCAACAATGAGGCCACGCCAGAAGCTAATGCTGCGTTACCTCGCATCTTGGATTGGGAAAACTTGGAATTAGCTTCTGCGTTACCTCGCATCTTGGATTGGGAAAACTTGGAGTGATATTTTAGATGAAGGTAGTTTTTTTATACATGCACCAAACTTACCATAAACTACATATACGCTACCAACCCTTTCCATATATACTTATTGCAATATATACTTTTTATATTTACCGATACACAATATACACTCTCCATATTAACCGGATATATAATATATACTTTCTTTTTATAGACAAATTAAGCATGACAATAATAGAAATAAATCCTAGATACCTAAACCATATTCAAACTTACCATAAACTATAGATACTTTACCAACCCTTCCCATATATATTGCAATATATACTTTTTATACTAATCAGGTGTATATATTTTTTATATTAACCCTATATATAATATATACTTTATATATTAACCGGATATACAATATATTTACTTTACTTTCATACTCCCCCTCAAACTCAAGATGCTATGAAAGAGAGTGGATGGAGTTTGAACACTAAGTTGTGGAAACGCGCAGTTGAATCTTCAAGTGCACACTTATATTGCTTGATCAACATGCACAGAAATCAGCAGCGGCGGATCAATGTGCCTCAGAAACAGAAGGCAAGAACAGAGTGGCATCGGAGTTCAATAATGAACAAAAACTTCATATCTTCACTGGAGATAGAAAAACAGTCGAGACAACCAAAAAAAACATAATGATACTGGAAGAGCCAACAGAACTCGGTGTTGATCCAAGACGGATTCAGCTGCTTGCAGACCAGAACATGCATGATTGAGTAACCGAACAACAAATTCGATCATACAACAAAGATTTTTTATTTTTTTTGGAGTGGTAAAGGGAGAAAATTCAGACAACCCACAAAGATATTTCAAGATTTAATGATTTATGGGTATTTTCAGATTTTTTTTTTGTTTATAATTTACAGGACAACTTCACAAAATAGAGCTCTTTACATAGTCAAAAGACAGCCTATTTGAATAGTAAGGAACCTGCACTTGTAGAGAGAGAGAAAGGATGTCCAACATGTAACTTATAACCCCCGCAAAAAACAAGAAAAAGAAAAAAAAAAAAGGGAGTCCCTCAAACCTATGAAGGAAGCCTTAAATCGGAGGAGCTCAACAATCTGAAAATTTATAGGGTACGACAGATTCGAAATATAAATTCCACTGGAAAAACCTTTTGAGGGTACAGCCATGAAAAATTATGGGTACCAGAATTCTGAAAATCTGTAAAACAACAAGGATAAATAATTTGGTAACATTGGTTTTTCGGAGAGGCCGGTGCAGGGATTGGTTATGCAGGGAACCTTAAAATTTAGATACGAGAGATTGTGGGTTTATTGGTAGCTCATTGGATGGTTGACTATGGATGTCGAAAATTATGAGATTAGGAGAGAGAGTGGTTGCTCGGGGTTTTGCAAATTTTATTATTATTATTTTTTCAATTGGCCCGCCCTGATAGAGCCATGACCGGGCCAGGGCCTGGGCCTAGGCCTGGGCCGGTCCTAGCATGTTGCCAGGCATAATGCAAGTATATGCCTGGTTAGGTTGGTGGATGGCGTGATGAACCGTAAAAGAAGGGTCTACCTCCATTTGGTCCACTTGGGATTTCCATAGGGAATACTTGAGTAAACCCTCATTTGGTTTGAGATATGCAAGTTATTATAGTTTTGCTGGACTATGATGTGTAGTTATTTTATTCTTTATTTTATAGGAAATTAAATGGCAATGGATTAGTAAGGGAACACTTTAGAGTTAAAACTTTATTTTTCTTGACGATACTGCCGTCCCCAATCTGGTTAGGTTAGTAGAGAATGGGCCAAGTTTTTTTTAAAATGTGTCATGAAACTTTAGACACGGAATGTGGAGGATATTAAGGTAAATTTAAGTGTGGAATTTGTCTAGTGCTTGAAGCTGAGGATTATATTTTTCTCAAAAGAAAATTGGTTATATAATTTGAAAATGGGCCAAAAACCAAAAAAAAAATAGAAAAAAAAAAAGTGATTTACATACATACCTTAAAATTTTAGGTAAAATACAAAATATTTTTTTTATAAGAAGAAATTAAAAAAGTCGGTCAACCCGTTTTTTTTATTGATTTTCCAAAATTACCCTCTGGTATGAGGATTCCATCCTCGGATTGAATTTTAATTGTTAAATTTTTTTTGTTAATGGGGCAGTGCCCAATGAAAATAAAATTTGTCTAAGGATTGCATCCTAAAGTAGTATAAAACTTACTGACAAACAATACCAGCAAAATTAACCGCATTTAAAATTAAGAAATAAAAATCGTGAAGGAAATCACAAGAAAAAAAAACAAAATATGCGGATACGAGTATTCCATCATGGGCCCATACATAAAAAAAAAAAAAAAAAAAAACAACACCCCACAAAAGGCCTCTCTCTTCTCTCCAAAAAAAAACACTCTCTTTATTAATCAAAATTCAATTTCCTAATACAATTCACGCCATCCCCTATTATTCACCCGTTTACAATTTTCCTTGACAAACTAATCACGTTAATATTTTTCTAGAAATATAAGCTTACTATTAAAGCAAACTCTTCTTTATTCCCTAAGAGATAGATGTAAATCGTTCCACCTCCTTAAAAAAGAACCTCTTGCTATTAAAAACTTATTTTCACGTTTATCTTAAAGCACTACTTTTATCTATAATACAACCCTACCTAAATCCAATACACACTAAAAACGAACTTATAAAAAAAGCTTACCAAACCTTCCTAATTAATCAACTCTAAAAATAAAATTAACAAAAATAAAACTAAAATTTGTAGCACCAGATTCAGATTTTGATCTCTTCTTTAGCCCATACTATACATATTTTGAGTCACCCTCAATAATTTTATTTCCACTTAGTTATGAAAATAATCGCAATCCTTCCCATAGACCTCTTGTCCATGCTTCATTCACAGTTAAGATGCCAATTGGACCTGAGAGCGTCCATTAAATGTTCTCCCTATTATCACGAATAATTCAACCAAAACCAACATGATCGGGATTCCTGAAGGAGTTGCTAACAAAATTAAGTTTGAGGCCTGTGGTGGTGGAATATACAATCTACTACTAGATCGATTTGAAAATTTGCAAATTCAAAGGGGTTTTGAATAATCTGATTTCTAGGACTGAAGGTGCAATTTTTATTTGTGGAAATTTAATCTGCAGCCATGGATATTTGTTTTCAAAGAATATATATCTATGCTTTTATCCTCAAACACTCTTCTGTTACGCTCCTTCCAAATATTCCACATCAACAACACCCAAAGAGATCTCTATAACATTGTCCCCAGCTTTTTAATCCGGGGTTCATCCAATCTGTAAAAAGCATGATTGATAAAAAATGTAAGTTAAAACTATTGTATGCTCTCAATTGTCCGATTAAAAATCAAATGATGCGGGGGCCATATGAAAATATTGTTGACCATTCGATACCTCCTAATGATAGGTTTCTTAAGCTAAAAGAACTAGAAGGTTTTTAAGTGGAATTTTAAACATCAGCTAATTGGTTTTTATATTTTGTTTCTATAGATGAAGGATAGAATAAAAAATCATGTTCAAATCCAAAAAATTACAACAACTCAATTCGACCAATCCAATGAGCGACTATCATAAGCGGAAAATTTAGATGTCGAGTTATTCATTAGTAGACTAGTGTTAGAACATGCGGTACCCGCAATGC